CACACCCAGTTTATAAAGATGATTCATTCGGTGTTTTCGTAATTCCTTGCAGGAAATACGCATTTCGTACAGTTTATGTGTGTTGATTATAATATGTATAAAACACTCGCATCATTAGTCAGCGGGGTTTCTCGACTAGTTAATGAAGAAACGAATGCAATTTTCAAAGCTTCAGGCGATTTTCATTACACCAAAACAAGAAATGGCCATCGCGAAAGTTAAAGATGTTCGTGATGTGGTTGACTCACAAATATAGCCGTCCGTTTCGATGAATCCTGGCAAAATACAGATCGCAACAAACCTCGGATTGGTGCGATCATACAGCTGCATTTGTGATTCGAAATTGATCTCCATAAATTGTCCAGTTGCCACAAGGCTGCTTCAGTGCGAATAATTAAAATAAACATGTACATATTTCTAAAATCCACTTACAGATAGTTTTTTTTTTCTATTTCACTTAGTTGTTGTATTTCTTTTAGTGATTGTTCTTAATTTTGAAAATGCAACAGAAGATTTATCTGTAAGGAACGGCATCATAGTGCCGAAATGTTCTGAAAAACTTTACTCTAGGCCAATTGCATCATTGTCTGCCTTTTTCCGTCCCTGCCATTGAGTTCATCTTTCAATTATTCCGACATAGAGATAATGTGGTCAGCCCTATGTCCAGCCATCTTTGTTTCCCTAACATGAGCCAGGTACCCATCAGAGCAAGGTGGACTCAGGTGATCCTACAGACTTGAGCCCGAGATTCGAACTCGAGATTTTTGGGTTAGCAGTCATGAGCTCTACCATTAGACCATGCCGCCCCTGACCAAGCGAATGTCAAATGATGACTGATTTTTTTTTTTTGTGAACTGCACATGACTTGTAAGGATTAGCTTTTAAATGTTGCTCAAGTGCACAATTGTCATATCGGCTGTATGATGAGTATTGATCGTTTTTTAATAATATCATGTCCAATCGATAACGATTTACAGATTTAAACTATTGATTACAGACAAAAGTTATGGGAACCCAGCGGTGGCTTTTCAGACGCCCTGTGGGGGGGGGGGGGGGGGGGGAGGGGGTGACAAGGAAGGTCACAGTATTCACGATCAAAGGAGGTCACCTCGTTCTTAACTACCACAGACGGTCGCCCTGTATACGAGGATTGGAAGTCACTCTGTTCTACATGGGAGGTCACTCTGTTCTACACGGGAAGTCACTCTGTTCTACATGGGAAGTCATTCTGTTCTACACGGGAAGTCACTCTGTTCTACATGGGAGGTCACTCTGTTCTACATGGGAGGTCACTCTGTTCTACATGGGAGGTCACTGTGTTCTACATGGGAGGTCACTCTGTTCTACATGGGAGGTCACTCTGTTCTACATGGGAGGTCACTCTGTTCTACATGGGAGGTCACTCTGTTCTACATGGGAGGTCACTCTGTTCTGTTGGAGGTCATTCTGTTCCACATGGGAGGTCACTCTGTTCTACATGGGAGGTCACTCTGTTCTACATGGGAGGTCACTCAGGGAGGTCACTCTGTTCTACATGGGAGGTCACTCAGGGAGGTCACTCTGTTCTACATGGGAGGTCACTCAGGGAGGTCACTCTGTTCTACATGGGAGGTCACTCTGTTCCACATGGGAGGTCACTCTGTTCTGTGGGAGGTCACTCTGTTCTACATGGGAGGTCATTCTGTTCTACATGGGAGGTCACTCTGTTCTACATGGGAGGTCACTCTGTTCCACATGGGAGGTCACTCTGTTCTGTGGGAGGTCACTCTGTTCTACATGGGAGGTCATTCTGTTCTACATGGGAGGTCACTCTGTTCTACATGGGAGGTAACTCTGTTCTACAAGGGAGGTCATTCTGTTCTACATGGGAGGTCACTCTGTTCTACATGGGAGGTCACTCTGTCCACGACCACTGGAGGCCGCTCCACTCCCATCCCACTGCTGCACTTAACCGATAATGTTCATGTCACATGCAGGATCACATGTCGCATAGGATGAGTCATGCCGGCCACCCCCCCCCCCCCCCACAAACACACCCACCCGCGACGCATGTATTGTCAGCACACTTTCACACCATGTCAGAACTACAGCTGCACTAAATAGCCTACAGATAACACTTACTTCACAGAGGGAGTTATTGGAAGGTTAGACATTTTCTTGTCGAGAGGATTTGTATATCTTTTGTCCGTGTCTTAGTGTGTGTATCGTCATCTCCATTGTTGGGAGGGGGGGGGGGGACTGTCCCATTCGAAGCTTAGAAATTATGCCATCAACCCCCACCCTCTGGGACGAAAGAAAAATGTAGAAAATGCGTAGGTCGGCGTGACCTGACGGTAGAGCGCTAGAATGTTAACATTGAAAGTCTCGAGGTCGGATCCGGGTTTAAGTCAGTGGAATGTTCCTCAGTCCACCCAGCTCTGACGATTGTTTAACTCACGTTGGGGAAAGTAAAGTCGGCTGGGCATAGTGCTGACCACAATATCCCTTCATATGCCGAGGTCAAGAAACTCTACTTCATCTGCCTAATAGATCTCTAAGTCTAAAGAGGAATATACTTTCTTTTATTTAGAAAATATATACAGTGTTTCTTCCAAACTTTTTTCTCCTTGGGGTTGGGGACGACGACACTGTTAAAAGCATATATTTTCTATATAAATTCTATTTCGTTCGGGGGGCGGTAGACGTTTTTCGGTGAAGGGATAGTGTGTTTAGCCTTTTGTCCTGTCGCCTATGTGACTCAGGTGATCCTAAAGACTTGAGCCCGAGATTCGAACTCGAGATTTTCGGGTTAGCAGTCATGAGCTCTACCATTAGACACCCCCTCCGCTTCCCGAAGAGATGCCTGGAATATATACTTAAACCAAAATCCTCCCCCCCCCACATACACACAGCGGAAATGTAAGTCCCCACCACCACCGAAGAAAAGTATCTGAAAGAAACGCTGTCCCCCCCCCCCCCGCCCCTCTCCCAACGCATCTCAAAACATCCTGAGCCCACGCACCAGAAGCTCCCACCCCGCTGCATAGCATCAGACATGAATGGGGAAATTTCCCGCACTGATTTACTTCCTGACAAGTCTTTGGAGTATCCATAAAACTAGCAGATAAGCCGTGTTTGTGTTTGCTCGTTGCTTGGCGTTACCATGAAATTACAATGGACTTCAGCAACAGCAGTATAAAATTATCAGGTGGAAAATATTTAAAACATGATGATAACATTTTAAACGTTTCCTTGCGTCGCAAAAAAATAGAACGATTTTATTTTTGAAAGTTAATCTTACTTAAAATAGTAGAGTACTCTTTCTGACTAAAAGATCGATTTCATATGATGTAGAGTTTGTTTGTTTCAACTCTGCGTGACTAGACAGTTTAGTCAGTGCTATGTCCAGCCGCGTTTACCTTCTCCAACTTGAGTCAGGTACATATAAAAACTGGGTGAACTCAGGGGCATGGGGTCATCCATAAATGACGTCACGCTTTTTTTAACGATTTTTACCTCCCCCCCTCCCCTCCGTCACACGTTGTCACCAAAAACGAGACCTCCCTAAAATGACGTCACACCTCAGCATATAACCCCCCCCCCCCCTCAAAATTGCAGTTGAATTTTTTTTTAAACATCGATATTTTTCTAAAATCTTGTCTGAGCTATGTCAAAATAGATTATTTTGATCAATTCCTATTACAATTTATTAAAACAGTTTTCTAAAACGCGAAATAAAGTCTAAAATTCGTTTTCTAACATTGCTTTTTTAAAATGCAAAAGTGTGACTTCGCACCATCTGAACCCCCCCCCCCCCCCCCCTCGCCCTCATCACACGCGTCACAAAATTATGGACCCCCCCTCCTCTCCCTACGTATGTGACGTCATTTATGGACGACCCCCATGTTCGTGACCAGCTTTCCCTATAACGGTAGTTTAACCTCAAATTTAACCCCAATGGTATTTCAGCGACGATTAAATAAGGATGGATTGATATGAACCTGGATGTATTTTTGACTTTATCTTTACTGGTCTGGCCCATGAGATTATCACAGAAGTGATTTATTAACGTCGGATAAAAGACATGCCCCATAAACCGGAAGAAGGCGTGGTATCAGTACAGGATGACACCAAAATTGTCGACAGTAATAAGAAAATCTACTTGGTCTGTGTGAGGTCATCATGTTCACGGAAGCCTATTTGTTGGGAGCAGTTTCTTCCAGGCATCTCTTTGGGCTATACCCCCTCCCCCCCAAATCGGAGAAAAGTCTGAAAGAAACACTGGTCGGGAGCCGTAGTGACGTGAGCCGTTTTGTCGGGAGCAAAATGACAGCCCATTTGTCGGGAACTTATATGACGAGGTCCATTTGTCGCTGGCCCTTTTCGCGGGGTCAATTTGACGGGAGCCTAAATGACGGGAGCCAATTTGTCGGTACCTTATATAACGCTGGCATTTTTCACTGGGCACATTTTTTGTTGCTCCTTATGAGGACTGAGCTTTATAGATTGAGTTTGAAAGTTTTATGTAGTTGTTATTGCTTTAATGTTAGGTTTTTTTTTAAACCTACATATCCATCTAGTTCTATATAATTCGACACATTGTGATTTTCTGAAAATAAAGGTACTATTTTTTTGTAATTTTTAAATGGCTACGTTTAAAATAGCAGACAAATTAAATTAGCTCATTGTCCTTAAATTTTGGCCTTGTAACTTAGTACAAGGCACGGCAAATTGCGTCAGTGATGGTCCCAAATTTCTAAATAGTGAAATGAAACATGAGATTTGTATTAGTTGAAATATTTTTTTACTGATGAAGTCTTTGAGTTGAACCATCACGTCTTTATTTGTGACTACCAATAATACCTTTTTTTAAAAATAATAATACAATTTATTTTTTAAAAGATGACTAAACACACAAAGCAAAACTATTTACACTTTGTTTATAATGGAATGATACCAATACATTCAATAGGATTATTCAGTCATGCAATACATGTACACAGAAAAAAAAGGATTTAAAAAATTCTTTTGAAATTTAATATTAAAACATATATATATGAGATTTTTTTTTGCTGAGGATAAAAATAGAACTATAGTTTAGCAGTGAATAACATGACCTTGTTAAAACAAATCATCATCACAAACTGCTTCAGTGTTTTTTTATGAATAATAAAATACAAATTCAAAAGTGGTTCTTTTAGTAAATATCAAAATACAGTTATGTTAAAAGAGGTAGTGTTTAAAAGATGTTTCACATCAACTCAAACACTTATTTTAAATATTTCAAGGCATTGTTTTCTTTCATATATTTGGCTAAAAATAGTTCTAATTAAAATTTATTGTTTAAATTGTCTTCTAAAAAATGTTTCAGACAATGTTTGTTAAAAGTGTGTATTCAATTCAGGCACAAAATAATTAAATAGATAATTCATTTTTGTATATTTTCTAGTATCCTCCTGTTATGCACTTCGGTCAAGGACTTTGAAAAAATATTCAACCTAAAAATAAAATTATAAAATATTTATACATAGAAAAAATATTAAGTAAAGTTCAATAATAAATTTCATAAATATTAAAACATTTGAACAATTGTTTTAATAAATATTTTTATATAATAATTAGTTAAACAAAAGAAAAATTCTTTCAACTAGCACATTTTAAAAATATGTAACAAAAACTTCCTCTTTACATCATGGCCAAATAATCGGGAAGATAATTCATCAGCAGAAAGCTACACTAAAGCCCTTGCTTTTGGTTGTTTCCCTTATATCAATAGCCAACCAGGGGTAGGCCACATCCTCCATTTCAAAATAGCCAACTATAAACAGGCTAAACTGGCTTTATTAACAGTTACTAAAAAAAAGCCTTAACTGCCCATCATAGTTACTAGACATAACTTACCTCTAATGGCCCGTCATCAGGGAGGTCAGTACAGTGGACGGCGTTCTGGATTTTGTTCAGGCCATAAATAGCGCGCAGTGTCCTGGGACGGAGGTGACGAGCTATTTCCTAATTTAAAGATTAGAATAAATTAGCATAATTATTAAATGAGATAATTAATAGTCACACTCTGGTAATTTTTTTCTAACCTGATATTTAAGCCTATACAGCAACAAAAACATAAATAAGGCTAAATTAATAAAACTGATACTGTAAGAAAGAAAAAAGATCCAACATTTCAGAACTTATAAACATGTACAACAAGAGTAATATCACAAAGCTAGAACCAATTGGGAATACTTTTGTGCTAAATAACAAATATTGCAATGCTGAAATATCATTTTTTCCTGTTCATGCCCAAGACCTCGCCATATGAATGGATAATGTGGTCAGTACTATGCCCAGCTGTCTTTGTTTTTCTAACATGAGTTAGGTACCCAACAGAGCTGGGTGGACTCAGGAACACTCTACTAACTTGAACCCGGATTCAAACTCGAGAGTTGGGTTAGCAGTCTAGCTCTCTACTGCTTGGCCATGCTATCCCAAAGGCTGAAATATACTGCACTCAGAACTAAAATACCACTTACCACTAAAAAAAACAATAAATAGGCTACTTATTGGAACTATGGGACAACAAAATTCACCCAAAACATCACTAATCTATGGGACAACAAAATTCACAAAATACCACTATAGGCAACTTACTGGATCCATGGGACCACAAAATTCACGGAACTCTTCAACCAGATGGCCTGTTTTTGATTTGGCCAGAATCTCCATGCCAATGACTGGCCCCGCTGTTAACTCGTTGACCATACCTGGGTATTCATGGACCACCCCCTTGTACACCTGCAAACACACAGTTCAAAGGTCAAATTAGAAAAGCATCTGTAAAGTGTAAGTCTAGTGCCAGAAACACAATAACTTAAAGCAGATGCACATTTTTATAAAAAAAAATTTCACGATGAAGTAGAGTAAATCTTTTTCTATAAAAGAAAAGGCACATGTGATCAGTACTTTTGCTGATACAACCCCGTTAACACATGGACTTCCTATGTATTAGAACTTGCGACTTTTGGATTAGCAGTGGTGCAACCTACCAGTACCATACAACTACACTATTTAATGGCCTTAATACATGTTATTTTACTAGAAGTAAGTAAGTAAGTAAGTAGTAAAGTTCCCTTTCAAACATGACGGTCTATGGGGCAAGTGAAGTAGAGTTCACTTGTTTCTGTGACCACTGCATATGAAGAGATAGTGTGGTCAGCACTATTCCCAGCCGCCTTTACTTTCCCTAACGTGAGTTAGGTACCCATCAGAGTTGGGTGGACTCAGGGACTGTCTACTGACTTGAACCAGGATTCGAACTAGCGACTTACGGGTTAGCAGTCCAGCTCTCTACCGCTAGACCACTCCGTCCCACAATCTTACTAGATGTGAGAACATATATTTACTCCCCAGATATACCCAGTCACCTTAGTATAAAATGTTATTTCTGCCCCTGAGATGCCTAGTCACCTATTAACCAAGTGTTATTAATTTCCCGGCCACCTATGTACCAAATGTTATTATCTCCCCTGACATGCCCAGTCACCTATGTACCACCTCACTGTCTTAAAACAAACCAGAGTTGCTTCCAATATCCAGATATTCACAGTTCATTACCTCATAAAACTCTTCAGCATTGGCCTTCTCTATGTTAAACAACTGTATTGTGTTGATCAAGAAGCCTTGGTCTTGTATGGCGGAGATGATTTTTCCAGCCAGACCTGGAGGAAAATTGAACATAATTGTGGTAGTAGTTGACATGATTTTAAAATAATTGTGGTTGTAGTTGACATGATTTTAAAATAATTGTGGTTGTAGTTGACATGATTTGAACATAATTGTGGTAGTAGTGGACATGATTTTGCTATTTGAAACAATGTTGGCATTGTTTAAACATTTTCACCACTAAACAATGGGCAAGTTACTTTCCTTACTTAGCCTATATTTTAACCAAAGTATTGAATGGACTGGTAATGTGTAGAAGACAAGGTCTAGATAACATATAGCCCTTGATCCAAATGCCTACCCCCCCCCCCTCCCAGCAATATAGTGTTTTTTTCCAGGCAAATGTTTGGGTGGTGGAGCCCCCTCGGACAAAGTCTATCCCCTGGAGAAAAAAGTCTGGAAGAAACACTGTATACAATGATAATGTGTAGTGAACAAGGTCAAGGTAACCTACAAGCCTTGATCCAAATGCCCCCCCCCCCTTCTCCGCCACCCCCCCCCCCCTCCCCAGCTCTATAAAATGCTAATGTGTAGTAAACAAGGTCAAGGTAACCTACAAGCCTTGATCCAAATGCCCCCCCTCCTCCGCCACCCCCCCCTCTCCCCAGCTCTATACAATGCTAATGTGTAGTAAACAAGGTCAAGGTAACCTACCAGCCTTGACCGCATGTGGTTTGATCACACAGAGGGTGCAGCCAGCGGCCGCCACACAGTTTGTGAACGTCTGTTTGGCACAGGATGGGAAGAAGAACTCCACTTCTCTGGCAGCAGACGCGGGACTGTCGGAGCCATGTACAGCATTGTGGGTGACGTCTGGAGGCAATGAGAGATAAACATGACGCTGAGAATATCACGTCACTAGGCACTGTTACCATGCCATGTATAGGTCCTTAGGACTCATATTATAAAGGTCCTAATATAGGTTACTTTAAATGTCTTATACCATGATCTCAGGCAAATAAAACAAATTTTCAACTGAAGAAAATGTTGGTCAGCTGAACATATTAGTAGTTTGTTTTCCTATAGAGCAGGTATATCCCAAATGTCAAATTCTAACTAGAATTGTGGGGATCATACCTATATATATATATATATATATATATATATATATATATATATATATATATATATATAAATAGTTTTTAAAGAAATTTTTTTAAACTATTATACAAACAATTTAAAATGTATAAAATGAACTGTACCTCTGCCAAATCGTGCTCGCAACGACGACGCAGCCTCAGACCTAGCTTTGGCAGGATCAGTGGGACCAATGAGCTCCCGCCATCGCAGGACAGCATTGTCTCCTACCAGCTCCATAGCCAGGATAGGCCCACTTGTGACATAGTTCATCAGATCCCTGAGAAAATTTTCATTTAAGTTAGGTATAAGATGTAGGGATGCCTGAGTACAGGGATGAAACAGATTAACTCTACTTCATCTGCCCCATGCGTCTTAAGCATGAGTAGGAAAAGATTATGGTGGATTACAAGATGGCTGCCATCAAGGTGGTTGTCATTGGTAACAAAACCATAGGTAAATCCCAACAATTATTTTCTTCTTTTGGTGTTAGGATTGGATTTGTTTGAGGCAGATCGTATGATATGGATGTCTGATGTTTGATGTATTAAACAGACGTTACTGACTGCTATAGTTAAATTATACTGGTAACAACATCAAAAGACTACAGCGGAATGGTTAAATCCACTTACTATCAGGCTTACAGACTTTGTAGAGTGATATCTTTATATTTTATAAACTTGTATCAGCAGTAATATTTGTAGATATATTTTGGGGAAGACAATGCTGTCTTTTTTTTTTAGATAAAGTTTAGTTAAACATGGCTGATTTGTTGAAAAATTTTCTTTTAAGTAAAGCTTAGCTTAATATGCTGCAATGATAAATTGCAAATTCACTTCAGTAAGATGGTTAGATATGTAATGGAGGGTGACACTAAATTGCTGAAATAGCAAAAAATCTATTATTACATTATTACATTTCCACAACTGTATGCTATTTTCCTGTAACTCTTTAACTAAAAAGATTAGTTACTTTGAAACTATAATCAATAATGTAAAATTCTACTAACTTCATAAAAGTTTTGCCCTTTCTTTCTACATTGTAAAATCTCTTAACATCATAATACTTGTATTACTTTCTACACTGTTAAACCTACTTTCATTTCTTTCTTATTCCTTTATACATCGTTAAATTTTACAAACTACATAAAACTTTTCTTATTCCTTTAAAAGTAGTTAAACTTTACTAACTGCATAAAACTTTTCCCTGCATGCTCCTGATAAAATCTGAAGGCATCGTTCTGATTCAACTTGCAAAGCCTCATTTTGGAAATGGCCAGACCCCTGTCATAAATGGCGGATATTACCTCCCCCATACGTTCCACAGCATCTGGCTTGATGTAACCCAAGGTTCTAGAAAAAGAAAATGTTGCATAAATTAAAAGTATTTTTTAAAAATGTTGCCTAAATTAGAAGATCTAAAAAAAGGGTCTTTAATTAGAAGTCTTAAAAAATGTTGCCTAAATTAGAAGTTTTACACAAAAAATGCTGCCTTAATTAGAAGTTCTACAAAAAGAAAATGTTGCCCAAATTAGAAGTCTAATAGAAGATATAGAAAAAGAAAATGTCCTTAATTATAAGATGTAAGAGTAATATTAAAACTTTTGTTCTTTTGTTTCAGATATACACTTAAATCCACCATAGTGATTTAAAACCATTACGTTAAATACACATACAATGAGTGTTGTTTTCAGGCATCTTTACAAAGCATATTCCCCACCCCCCTTCTCCCCAGGACGAGAAAAATATTGAATTTAAATAGAAAATATATACTTCAACCATTCTTAAAATCGCCCCTCATAGCACTCCCAAACAAAATGTCTGAAAGAAACCTTGCATTTGTAGCTTATATGTAGAGCCTGAGTGTGAGTCAGTGGCATAAGCATTGGGTATTTGTGGGTGTTGGACGCCCCCCCACCCCCTCCACCCTCTGTCCCCCATGCATTTTCAAAATGACAGTTACATCTATTGGCATTCAGTGCTTTCTATTTCAAAATGTTGAATGTCATAAGACTACAATATGTATGAAATTTTTTTTTGTATGATGATAATGCATACAGTGAATTTAAAAAATCCATGCAATTATTTTTTAGTAGTTAAGTTAGAAATAAACACAATGAAGAGAGCTTGGAAGCTGGCATTGTTAATGGAAGAGCAATATAGTATTATTGTAAACATAGGTACATAATATAATGGAAGCAGGAATTGTTAATGAAATAAAGTATTATTTCAGTATTAAAATAATACTTTTTGTCTAAATTGCTATTTAATTAGCACAGTGTAGTCTGCGGCTGAGACACTAATACAGCACAAAAAAACTTTAAATTAAACCATTGATAAAGATTTAAAAAGCTAAAAATATCTCCAATATTGAAGAATTTCTAATAACTCTCAATCATTTTGTTACCTCTCCAGCTTAGACATGAGTTTTCTTTTAGTGAATTCGTCACCAAAATCAACAATAGTTAGTTGCCTTCCCAACACGTTGATGGAGGCCCCAATGTACAAATCTTGCAGCTCAATGGGTGTGGAGGCTAAATTTGTTTTTAGAAACATCTTTCTTGTTTTCACATCAAACTGAAAATGCACATTGGTAATATAATTTCTTGATGAGAATAATTATTTCTTAATTTAAAGGATTGAGTTTGGTATATTTTAAAATTAAAGTAACATAATTTTGTAAAGTAATTTCTTGATTAAAGTAATGATTTCTTGATATAAGGGATTGAGCTTGGTACAATTTTAAGTTAAGTGATTTCAACTAATTAAAGTGACTTTAACTAATTAAAAAAATGTCAGCTTAAAAAGTGACTTCAGCTAATTAAACTGATTTGAACCAAATAAATTCAACTATTGTGCAAAGCCATACTGTGTGAAGGGCTTATTCTTAGTTAAAATTTCTTGTTTTTAAAACATTACTCACCATTTCTATACTTTTGCTTCCTGAGTAGTAAAAAAACTGAAACGTCCTGGTACGAGCTGCAAGCTCCTCATACCATTCACAGATAAAGGCATACCGAAAATCATCAGCCTGTAAAAAACATAATTAAAAGAAACTAAAAAACTTATCTATTAATCTGAACGAGAATGAAATGATCACATAAGATTTCTTTTACACCTAAATATAAGTAATAGCAAAAATATTATTGTAGGATATATAAAAAAAAACAATTGGTAAATGATAAAGGAATATAATTTTTTACTGTTATTGATTTTGAAAATGTAAATATTGTTCAAAAATTCACTTACATCTATATGTAGCAACATGCTTATACACTACTCACCAAATGAAAATTTCCTAACAAATATATGAACACACACCATATCAAATTAATCATGATGAAATACTCAGTACAGCTGTTTAGTTCCAATCATTACATTTTAACTGCAAGGGGAAAGAGAGACTCCCCAACTAGATACATTTGAAGATTGAGTCTTCAAGACTAATATAACCAATTAGACATTAGGTGTAAAAGTGCTAAATTCTAAGAGGAACTACAAAAAGTTAAGGTATATCGGCTTTGAAAAGACTGAATTTAAATATTAGTGTAGTGTAAAAGAATAAATTTACAAGTTTATTTTATTTCCAAAAATAGAATTTAAGTTAATAATAATGTTGATTATGTTTTAGAAGCAATAATAAAGAATAAATTAGGTCTATAGAGTTTAGTGTTCGTAATAATGTGTTATCTCCCCCTAGTTAATAAAAACCTACCTCCCTTAAGATTACATTTGTATGAAGAGAAAAGGTATTATATTGGTTATTGCCCTTTTTTGTCAACGAAGGTTTAAAAATTCTCAAAGTAAAAAAAAATTTTTTAAGGAAAACAACTTTTATTATATTCACAAATCACAAAAAAATTACAAATGAAAAAAAATCACTATAATTAAATTTTTGTTTACTTTTCATAGCATTTCTTCCATTTGTGATTTTTTTTGTGAAGAAAATAAAAGCGTTTTTTCTTAAATAAATATTTTATGTGTGAATTTTTTTCCCCTTAGTAGGCATTCGTTTATAAAGGAGCTGACTTTATATAGTCTACGACTAAAAATATTTGCATTAAAATCTGCCCAGTAGCTTGTGATCTTTAAAATTTCGTTATCTGCCCCTTTTTTTCCCATGGTCAATGATGGGGCATAAAATCAGCCAACACTGAAAACAGTTCACCCTCGACTGCCCTCTGATTAAGCGATCAGTATTATTTACTTTTTTGTTATCTCCCCTTTTATTATTGAATATAGTAATTTTAAAGGCTTTTATTAAATTAAGTTGTCAATCTAATTTGATTAAAATTAGATATTCTTGCAAAATCATATAAGATCTACCACTGTATCAAATTTCAGCTCAATCAGACAATGGGAAATGGTTTAAATTTATATTCCAAGATATGCTGAGCCACAAACAAATTTAAGTGAGTAGGCTAAATAAAAGCCTTTAATTACATGGATTTTAAAAATCAAGCTTTTAAATGCACTGAAAATATCAAAATAAAACAAAATTTTGTTTCTTTAGATATATGCTAAGAGTAAAGTAGTCGGCAGCTCAGCAAATATCTTGAACACAACTTTGCATCCAACTTGAATGCCAGTGATATTTAACATAGAGATACTAGATAAACAATGCTTGTCATCTTTAACCAAACACCTGTCTTCACCTTTATTCTATAGCCTTTACCCCAGACATCAACAGTATTGAACAGTGCTATACTCTCTATCTCTCTGTCCAATGTCTGACCAACTCAAGCAATACTCAAGTTAGGCAGACTACAAGAGGATAAGAAATGAGCATTTCTCACAGCTATTTGACAAGTGGGTTTCAATCAGGCTTTCATATCTTCAGATGTATTTTCAAAGACTTGTTTAGAAAAGGGGGCAGTTTGGTCAATTGGGCAACAGAACTTGTAGCTTTATGGTAAGAATGCATGTTCTACTGCTTGACCATGCAGTTCTTTACTCACTGAAATATTTGGTACTGTATTACTTTAAAATTTTCAATTAATGCTAGCATGTGCAAAAGTGGTCATTCAGAAGTGACCTCATATTCCTAGGGACAATAGGTCAGACTTTTTTTTTGTAAGGGATTGAGGTTGAAATGTATAATATGGCATTTATTTTGTAATTTAAAGAATAAAAATACTTAAAAAATTGTAAACTTTCATAAGAAATTGTTATTGGCTGTTAAGCTATAGAGAGCTTGTTGTAATTTTAAGTGGCACTTTGCTTTTTCTGATGACTTGTGATAAAAAAGGGTGTGTGGAGTAAAAGCATTAAAAAACATCAAAATGCATAATTAATAATTCCAAAAAATGTCTTTGTTTTTATAACTAGATTTATATATGACAATTAGAAAAAAAAACAGATGATCAGCTTTTTTCAGAAACTGCTTGAGATACAAAGGGTCGACTCCAAAGTGTCGACCATTTTAAGATAATATACTTACATGATGATGTTAGTATTAGTATCATCATTCCTGGAACTAGATTAAGCCTACTGACTTAGCTTATGCCTATAGAATTAATATTATAAATTCAAATTTGCAAGTGATATAATGCACAGCTTTTAGAATTTGTGGAAGATCAGTAAAAATTAGTTTATATTAGGCCTAGTTTATATTAAAGTTTATAGGCAAGGTTTTAAGAAACATACACCATATAGGACTAAAATTATAATAGTACTAAAACAGTTGCAGTTACACTTAGTTAGTTCTTTCCTCAGTAGTTTTTATTATTTAGAATCTAGTAAGTTGAGTACAATTAGTACCAATTACACTGTGACTTTATTGGGCATACAATCATACAGACACTACAGTACAGAACAGTACAGTACAGGCTATTTTTATTATTAATTTATTTTTATTTAGGCCTAGTGTTTTCGGTAATCTATCGTTTTAGGTACGTAAAATCGCCCGCGACTAATAATGTGCAAAACAGGTGACTCCTTAAATTTTAATAATTATTTCACATTTTGAGGAGGATTAAAGTTTTGAAAAATACAAAAAATGTTTCCTTGTTTCATTTATGAATCTATTTTTAAACAACTGAATAAAAACTTTTCAGTAATAAATGAAGACTAGCGATGTTTTCATCAGATGCAACCAAGCTCATTTACTATAGCAGCCATCTTGTTGAAGTTTTATTTTGTTAAAGTTATAGCGGAAGATTCAGGGGAAACCGCTCTATTTTACAAATGGCTGATGTTTATATAGCAAATCTAGCTCACAAACACTGCAGTTTAAAGTTAATTTCCTGCCTATATTGATATATTTAGCCATTGATTTTGGTTTATTTTTCAGTTATCTATAATATTTGACACAAATATATCACACTATACTTCTATTAAAACCTTGACAATGAGGTAACTTTTTCGTACATTACTAGCCGCGGGCGATTTTACGTACCTAAAACGATAGATTACCGTGTTTTCTACTAGATCTACTAGACATCTTGATTGATCTAAGAAGACTCTACTGTTAGTGTAACTGTAGTTTAGTGTAGATCAGAAGATCAGTCAGTCAGTAGGCCTAGATCTAGATCTAGATCCTCTAGATCTAGATTCTAGATCTAGATCTCAATAACTTTTAAAAATAAAATTAAATTAAATAGGCTAAATTTTAAAAATGTGAAAAATAATATTTAAAATTTAAATATTGTCTGGAATCTGGATTAGATCTAAATCTAGATCTACATCTAGATTCTAGATCTAGTAGATGACTTTAAAGTATCTCTTCTTACCATTCTTCTGATAATGTATTAAAACTCTTTATGGTGAACCTTTTATTGTTTAAATTGCAAGATTTACCCAAATCATGGGTCTGAAGAAGCCTTGTTGTAGCAACAGGCAAGAATCCCTAGTCAAAATGTAACGGAGATTTTGATTGGCTAACATTTTATTTCCGGCGTAACCTATATCGACAACTTTGGCAAGTTGGCTTTTATGTTGTCATTTGTATTTCCGGGTAAGCTGTGTTGCAACGAAGTAGACTAGAAGTAGAATATTTTTGTTAACTAGAATCTGAATAAGGTAGATCTAGATTCTAGGACAAGTATTGTCTAGTATTTTATCAGTGTGATAGATTCTTGTTACTTAGTTAGCCTAGATCTAGATCTATTTCATTTGTCCTTTCAGGTAGTGTGCCCTAATCCACTAATTAATTGAATGTATATTTTTTCGCATGTTTTCTTTCTAATCAATTCTAAATGAAATGTCGTAAAAAAAGTCATAAGCATCTGTCTGTTGCTACAAAAATAGTTTAATGAGTTTAATGGACTTCTTTTTTCTTTAATTGTATTGGTCGAAATTTGTTTTCAGATTAATCTCACGAATCTGTTGGTTTGAGGAAATTCTGATAATGTCATCTCTCACTGTTAAACCAAAAAATAGTGATTGCAAAGAGACTGTTTTACTAAGAAAAGCTGTACCAAAATACAACTTTCAAAATGCTCAAAAACTCCCTAAAGATTATGACAAAGTTCGTCCAGTTTCACCAGTGACTAAACTAGCAGAAAAAGATACAGACGTGACTTATACTACAAAGCCTACCTTGGCTAAAACTACCGTTAAACCAATCGCTGTCGTTGGGGCATCACACTTGCAAAGGGAATTACCTGCGACAGTAGAAGAAATACCTCGTGATCATTCAACTGCTACTATAATTTCAAAACAGACCTGTGATACAAATATACAACCAAGTGAAGTTTCAGCTTCTCATAAATTTTCACCTAGTCCACCAATACAGAGTCAGCATGTTCCTTTACAACCCAGTAACCAACACTCAATCATCAGCGTACCAGCTTCTACAGCTATCACTTCTGTTGGGCATGAGCTAGGCTCTCAACCTTCAGCTGAAGTTACATTGCTTGAGTATGAAAAGAACAGATTGAAAAAAGAATTGGACATTCAACTTCAGGTGAATTCAGAGTTGAAACGCTTATTAGTAGCCTCAGTTGGTGAAGATTTGACTCAAAGAGTGGAAAGGCTTTGTAGGTGAGTTTTTTTTTCAATGTGGCTTGATGGAGAGGACATTTTACTATCCCTAACTTATCCTTATCGCCTCTATTTCTAATTGAGGAGAAGTAATGTTCTGAACCAGGCTTAATTATTATTGAACTTTATTTATATCAGTGTTTGTATCATTTGTAAAAGTTTATTTTCCTGTATTCGTATAAAAGTAATCATTCATAGATATTAATAAAGATTAAACTTTTTGCTTTTAGGGACCATGCCCAACTTTCTCAGGATATTGGTGGCTTCAGCAAAAAATTAAATGAAGACTATGAGAACCTGGATAAGGTCTCCATTCAAGCTGATATGTGGAGAAGCAAATACCTGGCTGCCAGGTAAAACTGGATGGGTCATGTAGTCGACTGGATGGGTCATGTAGTCAACTAGATGGGTCATGTAGTCAACTAGATGGGTCATGTAGTCAATTGGATGGGTCATGTAGTCAACTGGATGGGTCATGTAGTCAACTAGATGGGTCATGTAGTCAACTGGATGGGTCATGTAGTCAACTGGATGGGTCATGTGGTCAACTGGATGGGTCATGTAGTCAACTGGTTGGGTCATGCAGTAAACTGGATGGGTCATGCAGTCAATTGGATGGGTCATGCAGTCAACTGGATGGGTCATGTAGTGAACTGGATGGGTCATGTAGTCAATTGGATGGGTCATGCAGTCAACTGGATGGGTCATGCAGTCAATTGGATGGGTCATGTAGTTGCCAGCACTATTTAGCTGGTTTCTAACTCTTAATTTACTGTTCTGTATAGTGTTACGACCACCTGGTGTTTAACCTGGGCTGACCCGTATGTTGGGGTAGCGATCTCACGCTCATCCATCAACCTGGCGGTGGTCAGAGGCTGACCAGTGCTGGCCGTGAGAACCTTTGGGCCGTGACGGCCACACCGGATTGGGTACCACGCTGTGGGCAATGCATGCCTGGTGTCTTGGGGGACTCGGCTATTAACGTGTCCAACAGCCCATGAATTACCTGGTGACACCACGGGCTGACCGTTGATGCTTGATCTAGGCTAGTGACGGTCCATGTTTTACGGCTGGGAAAACCTTCCAGATCGCACAGGGCCGAGATGGACGGTCATGTCCTGACCTGACCTGGGGGTCAGGCTCGATTAACAAGGTTCCCACACTAGCGAGGGACGACTTGAGTACTTTAGGAGGGTAGACCGGAGACTAGGGACACACTCTCGACAGACGCTCGGGACACGCACTCGGAGACGGACGTACTCGTCTCGGATAGCTAGGTTTAGGGGAGACAGACACGGGTCGTCTCTGAGAGCTAGTGGAAAGCCACGACATGTTTTAGACTTAGGCTAGGCTAGACGGTTAGGGACAAGTAGGGCAGTCGAATTAAGGACTATAGTTGTTGTAGATAGTTGTGTATTTTTCTTCTTGTGTTCCATGTGGTGGCGGGTTAATGTTAGATGTTGTATTTTGTGGCGAATAAATAGAGATTACTGAAGTTGGCTTTTATTTATTTTTATTTTTCTTCTTCTTGTTTACGATCCCCTGACTAGTTCGAAAGGATTAGAGAAGGGGGTACGTAACAATTGGTGGCTAGAGTCCGGGATAGGACAGACAACGAGTTGAATAGTTTCTTTTGATGCCATTTTCAGTTGGGGGCTCACGAGCTAGTGTTTGATTTTAAGTTTTATGAGTAGTGAGAGTAAAGTTGTTCACGGAATCAGGAGAGTTTTCCAAACATTGAGTAAGTAGCGAGCTTATCACCTTTGTATTGACACTGAGTTTATTTTGCTTGATTTTTATGTTGGTCCAGTAGAGCTGGAATTTTTTTTGTTGATTCAGTATAGCTGGAGGGATTAATGCCCAGTATACTCGAATATTTTTGTGTGGTCCAGTGGAACTGGAGTGTTCGGGTTTATTCAGTACAGCTGGAGGGTCATTCCCAGGTACGTGAATAAATTCGTAATTTTTATTTGGTTTGCTCAGTATAGCTGGAGGGTCAATTCCCAGTATACGTGAGTAAATCGTTTGTGGTCCAGTGTAACTGGATATTTAGTTTGGTTGGCCCAGTATAGCTGGTGTCTACCTATTTGAAGTGTCAAAGGTGATAGCCCTACTTTTAATGTTTAAGTTAAAGTTTTTGTTGTGAGCCACATTTTTTAGTAGTTAACCGCCACCATTTAGCTGGATAAGTTCCGTAAGTGTGAATCATGGACGTAATGAGTTTTATGGAGTGTCCAACTCTAGAAGTTTTAGACAGGTTTTGTCGCGTAGAGTTGTTGCGACTAGTTGAGGAGCTAGGACTAGAGGTTGATGTCTCGGATAGAGATAGAGTTCTACGAGATCATATTTGTGTTGAGTTGGTAAATACAGGTAGATTAGAGGAGGAGTGTCTAGACTCGATAGAATATTATGAGATCGGACGTATTAGGGTTGAAGAAATTGAGAGAAAGTTTCAAGTTAAGTTGTTAGAGATCACGAGAGAAAAAGAGGATAAGTTGTTAGAGATCAGGAGGGATATATTCATGTTAGAATCTTGGAAGGAAATTAACATTAAAAGTTTAGAGAAACTGTTCGGACATGAAGTTAAACTATTAGAGATCAGGAGGGAACGGGATTTACTTAGGCTATGGGAGGAGGCGCATCTTAGTGGGTTGTTTGACTTTCCAGAATCTGTCTCTGTTTTCTCTCAGGCTAGTGTAGTAGTTTCCGAGGATCGGTATAGAGATGAAGATAGTTTGTTGTCTGATAGAGTAGGTAGTGAGTTTTGTCAGTCTCAGACTAAGGCTGCCACTAGCTTTGGCTCAGTCCCTGAAGTCGACTCTAACCTAGCAGAATCAGCACAAACGTCAAAACGTGCTGATAGCTTACGAGTCGAAAGTTGTCTGCCGACAAGTACTGAAGGCAGTCAGCAAATTATTGGTTTAGATAAAATCACGGCGACCACTCTGTTATTGGCCAGTCATGAAAAGGGGCTGTCAATATCTGACCCAGTGGATACAACCACCGATGATATAACGGCAACCACTCTGATGTTGACCAGTCATGAAAAGGGGCAGTCAATATCAGAACCAGTGGTTACAACCCCCGCTGAAATCACGGTAACCACCGAGAGAGTGAATACCCATGAGAACAGGCTGTCCTCGTCTGAACCTGAACCAGTAACTGTATCTGATCAAGACCTTACTACTTGTGGTCTTGAAGGCGTCATGACCTCACCTGGAGGTCACGTGGATGGTGTTCTACATCCAGAGATAGACGAGTCAACGAATCTTTTGCCAGCCTCGGTAACAGACGAAATTGTTACCCATTGTCTTGGAGGTGAGCCTAACACGGGCTGTCCTCCCATGATCCCAGCAGTATTTGATTTCTCCCCGACCAAGTCCAGCAACCTGGAGGCCATGACCTCACCTGGAGGTCACGTGGATGGTGTTTTACATCCAGAGATCGAGGAGACGGTGAATCTTTTGTCCGCGTCGGCGACGAGCCAAGTCATTACCTCTTGTTTTGGAGTTGAGCCTAACTCAGGCTTCCCTCCCCTTATCTCGGAGCTGATTTATTGTTCTTTGACCGACCCGGGGAAGATCGGTAATGTGACCTCAGCGGGTCACACTTCTCCCGTCAACCGAGAATGTGTACATGTGAGCGCATATCACCTCACTTTCACAGAGACGGGGCGTGAAATCGACCTCTCTTTGTGCGGCTCGGTGTATTTGTTGTGGGCGGATAATATCTCCGTCACTAAAATTGTTCTGCGCCGGTATAAAGTTCGGCTAAAGATTTATATTTACGGACTCATGATGACCCGCAAGACGGAAACATAATGACAATGTGTACCTTTGAGTTTCAAGCCTGTTATAGAACTGTTTCCTATATTGACTGTTTCATGTTTTCCCAGGATGCAAGTGTTCTAATCAAAATGAACTGTTTTCAGGCTTAAAGAATGTACACTTTTACATGTCTTGTTTGAAAAAAAAATGTGTTATTGATGTTTTACATGCTGTTGAATTCGTGACAGTTTTTAATTGTATTGACAAGTTTTGTTGACTGATGACGTAACTATCAGTAAAACGAAGACTGTTGGTTTTCAATCTTAGCATTATTTGCGACAGTGACACATGTGTTGCAGATTTGCTGTTTTATTTACTTTGATGTCTATGTTTGATGACATCGTGTTTGGGGTATTTAGTCAAACTTGTTATTGTGACTAAATCATCCACGTTTCTTATCTTTTTAGTAATGATTATGTTAAATGGATTTAGTCCCATTTAGGTTTATTCTGGGACTTTTGAGGAATTGTGAGATTGGTATGGTTGTCTAGTAAGAGATGTTCAATTAATTCACCATGTGGTGGCGAATTAATTTCTTGAAGGGTGGGGGTGTTACGACCACCTGGTGTTTAACCTGGGCTGACCCGTATGTTGGGGTAGCGATCTCACGCTCATCCATCAACCTGGCGGTGGTCAGAGGCTGACCAGTGCTGGCCGTGAGAACCTTTGGGCCGTGACGGCCACACCGGATTGGGTACCACGCTGTGGGCAATGCATGCCTGGTGTCTTGGGGGACTCGGCTATTAACGTGTCCAACAGCCCATGAATTACCTGGTGACACCACGGGCTGACCGTTGATGCTTGATCTAGGCTAGTGACGGTCCATGTTTTACGGCTGGGAAAACCTTCCAGATCGCACAGGGCCGAGATGGACGGTCATGTCCTGACCTGACCTGGGGGTCAGGCTCGATTAACAAGGTTCCCACACTAGCGAGGGACGACTTGAGTACTTTAGGAGGGTAGACCGGAGACTAGGGACACACTCTCGACAGACGCTCGGGACACGCACTCGGAGACGGACGTACTCGTCTCGGATAGCTAGGTTTAGGGGAGACAGACACGGGTCGTCTCTGAGAGCTAGTGGAAAGCCACGACATGTTTTAGACTTAGGCTAGGCTAGACGGTTAGGGACAAGTAGGGCAGTCGAATTAAGGACTATAGTTGTTGTAGATAGTTGTGTATTTTTCTTCTTGTGTTCCATGTGGTGGCGGGTTAATGTTAGATGTTGTATTTTGTGGCGAATAAATAGAGATTACTGAAGTTGGCTTTTATTTATTTTTATTTTTCTTCTTCTTGTTTACGATCCCCTGACTAGTTCGAAAGGATTAGAGAAGGGGGTACGTAACAATAGAAATGTCATTAATTTCTGGGTAAGAAGTTGATTGCTGTAAGTAGGTTAGGTGCCCATGCATTTTTTTTAAAATAAAATTATTAATAAATCTAAGTTAAAAAACAGTTTCTGAGTCTTAAAATTGTAACTATTAACCTATTGCAAATTATAATGGCCTTTTGTTATATTAATCTTGCATGCAACTATTTGTAGTGATATTAGATAATCACATTTTCATTTGTTTTGATGTCTTTATATCTAGAGTAATGATAGAGGAACTGGGCAATGCTCGAGCTTATTTCTCCCTTCAGTGCCACGACACCCAGGATGCTATGCAGCAGTTGTTGAATGAGAGACACGAGCTGCGAACCAATTTGCTTGAAGCTTACAAGTAAGTGAATAATGTGTTGTGCACCAGACTTATGTTATCCTACATGCTTCAGTATCTGAACATTTTATATCTGATTTACAAAATAGTTTTTTTTTTTTAAATTGTTTTACAAACGTGTGCTAAGAATTAGAAAAACTAAGGGGCTCACAGTTAGTAATTTCCTATTTAATTTGGTTTCATTTTTTTTTTCAAGTATGATGTAATTAAAAACTATGTGTAGTTACAGGTAGCTATTCATATACTTTAGCTTGTGTTTTAAAACTCTTTCATCTTATAATCATGTTTTCTAAAAATTATTCTCATGGAATTTTTATCTCTTTAAACTTTTAGTGTAAGCTACTTTACTATAATTTATATCATTAAATTTGATAGTTGATATTAAACCTGCAGTTTATCATGCAATGGTTGTTTTCAACCAGTCTTATATTATTGGTTGTCCTCTGTTACAAAGCAACAGATTTGTTGTAGTACACATTTAACAAAACCACGTTCAGGACACTTTTATAAAACCACTTTCATGACTTTTTATAAAACCACTTTCAGGACACTTTTATAAAACCACTTTAAGGACATTTTATAAAACCACTTTCAGGACACTTTTATAAAACCACTTTCAGGACACTTTTATAAAACCACTTCCAGGACATTTTATTAAACCATTTTTTCAGGGTACTTCAACAAGTCAAGACAGCCTTTGACCCCCTCAACTCTCACAGGTCCACATGTCTGAGATCCACCAATGTGCTTGAGTTGTCTAGGGCCTGTCAGCAGCTGGCCGAGGCCATGAGGTTTCGCCTAGTGCCTGCGCATGTTGTCTTTAACATTGATTCAGAGTTGCCTGATGTATGGGAGGCTTCAGTTACCAGGGCCGAGCAGTTTGCTCATGAGGTAAACTCATTAAAATCTTTATTGATTTTTCTTAAATACAGTATTGATTTTTTTACGGTTTTTTGTGAACACTGTTGAGTGCGATAGTCCATGCCATTTGTCTTAGTACATATTGTTTATGTGATGGTGTGGTCAACTAGTAGAGCATATGTTTGATAATCTGGAGGTCTTGAGTTTGTTTCCCCGGTAGTCTGTAGAATGTCCATAAATCAAGTACCTAAATTTGAATCTGGGAAGCCAAGGTGGCTAGGAAAATATTAATTTCTCAATCCCTTCAGGTTAAAAAAATAAGTAAAGTTTTCCCATCAGACCTAATTATCCCTAGGGCAGGTGAGGTATAGTTAATGTTTCAAGACTTTAGCATATGAAGGCATGGTGCGGTAAGCGCTATGCCTAACTGCCTTTACCTAATGCTAGATCCCCATCAGAGCTGGGTTGACTCAGTCACATCCTGCAGTCCTGAGATCCTAACTCAAGACCTTTTGGCTAGCAGCCGAAGTTGACCATTCGATCACACTGTCCCGTAATACCATCATGTGCATAGGTTTAAAAAAAAGCATAATCTCTTTATCTGTTTTAGAGTCCAACAGGTCAAGAGAATACTTATTATATATTGTTGTTTGCTTTGTTTATCTTGTGTAAATAAGTAAAACAGGAAAAAAAACTAAGTAATAAGCCTTTTTTATTTATTTATATATCATGTATAAGTTTAGATACTTAAGGGAAAATATTTGCATGCATCAGGTACTCTTCTGAAAATATGGTTGCCATGACAACAGCTGCCATCTTGGGGAAAAAAACAACCTGTAGTGGAGTTCTAAAAAAATTTATTTATCTATATATGTATAAGTTTAGATACTTAAGAGAAAATATTTTCATGCATCAGGGACTCTTCTGAAAATATGGTTGCCATGTAAACAACGGCCATCTTGAAAAAAACAACCCTTTGTGAAGTTGTAAATTTACATAAGCTAACATATATACCGGCCATATAATCATTGATTGTTCTTTTATTTTTCTCAGGTACTGTCCAGACCAGTGGAACCAACAGGCTGTTTACAGTCAGGCTCCTCAATGCTCCTACCTGTGACAGGCAGACAGGAGTCGCTGATAAAACGTTTCCACCCACACACCAGGCATGAGAATTTAACATTCAACTGTTGTGTTCACTGCAAGGGGGAGATCAGTGTTGTCTAGGCAGTACAGTCAGCATTTATCATGTTATCGTCGCTACTTAGCAACTGTTCTTCATTACTCAAGTAATACATTTATTATATATACTGTACCCATTAACTTACTGGTATAGTGGATTTTAATTCTCTATGTTCTTACAGTGAAGGTACATTTTTTAAAATGATCTATCATGTGTACATATTATTAAAGACAATCATGAAAATTTATGGACAAGATTTTTAAAAGTACTTTTAATTAAGTACATTTGAGGCACTTAATTTATTTTTTTACCAGTTTTTCTCTTTCAATTGTAATTATATTAATGGCATATTATGTAACAGTTTGTAAAAATTATTCTTTCTTATACTTGTGTTATTATTTGCTATTTTCTAGTGTTTGAATTAAAATTCTAGAATATCACAGTTGAAAAAAAAATAATTTTGTTTTCCTCCTGCAATAAAGATGTCAAGTACTGGTACTTTTAATTACTTGAGGTAATGATTTTTTTAACAGAACCTACCGATTTTGAAATGTATATTATCTATTTTAGTGTATCACATGCATAATAATACTGAGTTCACATTTCAAGGCCTAAAAAACACTCCCAGCGTTTGTTCTGCCGACCTGCTGTAACGTAATGACGTTCCCTGCGTTCAATAACCTTTTTATTTACTTACTTGTTTTGCCTATGTAAGTTTTTGCAGAATCTTTAAGTGTTTAATAAAAAAATAGTTCAGGTGGAATTCTGGAGTTAAATTTTAATGTAGAGTTAAAAATAACTACTGCCTTTATATTATGTGTTCTTTTTTAGAACATTTTTCTTTAGAAACTATTTGTATCAGTTTGGTTTTTTTATAGTTTTTTTTTTTTTCGGTTTGGTTTTATGTTGTAGTAGTTATATATATAATATATATATAAATATTATATATTTACTTTTATATTTTATAGCTGGTTAAGGTAAGATCTTCATTTTGTATTATTTTTTCACCTGTCTATACTATAATTTTGTTTTCATTAATCTTTGGATATTTTTAAAGTATAGTTGTGAATTATTTTTAAGCTCCATTTTCCTTAGCAAAAAATTGCACTTGAGTTTAAGAATTCAACATGGCCAATAAATTAATAGTTCATTTAATGGTAAAGCAGCAGAGCTGAAGGCTATTATAATAAACCAGTATGTTATCCAGGTCCAACCAGCTCTGATGAGACTGGTGTTAGTGGGGAACATAATTTCAACCCAGTATTATATGGGTCAGTGAACAGTGTGGTCGAATTGTAGAGACTGCTAACCTGAAAGTCTCAAGAGACTGTACAACATCCCTGAGTCTGCCCATCTCGGATTGGTACCTGACTCATGTTTGGGGATAGTGCTGACCACACAATCTCTTCATATGCTGAGGTCACTGAAACATGTGAATTCTACTTCACTTGCCCCGTGGAAAGTAAGGTTTGAAAGGGTACTTTACTTTTTTTTTTTATTAAACCAACCACAGAAAACTATTTTAAAAACTGATCATTACCCATCTTGTTTTGTGTTACCTGTACTTGTTTGTTGGAGCTGAAAATTGTGACACAATCTAGTCTTTCATTAATCTTACTTAAAACTGATCACTCATAAACATTTTTGCAAAACAATTTGTATTATTAGTGAAGACTTTAAAAAATAACACATTTTTCTACACTCATTTTTTTACTACCATATTTTTTAAAAGACTTGAAAAACATAACCTTGCATGTTGGCATAAATATCTCTTTAAAATAATGTAGGCTTATAAACTGCTGATTTATATTGTGCATCTACTTTCTTGTTTCATGTTCCTAATAGATTATGTGATATTTTAAAAATTGCAAAAAAATATCAATATTTATTATGTTATGCACATTTGGTGGAATAAAAATTAAGATTTAATAATTTATTTTAATTTATATTGTGGAGAAAAACCTGAGTGTAAATTATTTATATTAGATTGATTTTGAATAATAATTATAGAAATCGATATCAAATTTGTTTATTTGTTAATAGTTATTATTATTATAATTCTTACAAACTGATGGAACGAAAATTAGATTTAGCCACGCTAGTTGTTAATTTGATTTTTATCAGATACCACTCCAAGCATTCACTCAGCAAACCATATCATGCCTCAATTCTATGTGCCAAGTCATGCATGTCTATATTATATCTTGTTACAAAGTGGTTTCTTTTTAAACTAAGCGCAGCTTCCATTATCATCTTGTTTTTATCTTAACCTTGCTAAAGTATTTATGATACTGGTTAAGGAAATAAATATGTTCTAGTCATATCTTGTATTTTTTGTTGTTTTTTTTTTATTTCTTTTCTAGTTTAATTAAATCTTTTAGCGGCTCTCTCTTAAGAATCAATTTTAAAAGAAAAGTCTAAATTATTTTTTGTTTAGCAATCTGTTACTGTTATTATTGGAGAATTGTTCCAACATGGTTAATCACAATATGATTTTTGAATGCTGAAACAAAGGGATATTATAAACCAAATTGAACTGAAAAGTAAATAAGGGGGAAAAAACAGACCTTTAAAATTACATAAAGCTTCACTACAGTATATATTCCACTCAGTGGCGTCGCTAGATCTCGTGTCATCCGGTGTGGCACTTTGTGGTGTCACCCCCCCCCCCCCCCCCCAAGAAACAAAGTTTATGTGTGTGTATATATATATATATGTGTGTGTGTGTGTGTATTTATATTTATATATATATTTATATATATGAATGTGTGTGTGTGTGTCTGCCTAAATATGCCTATTATTTAAATATATGCCACATTTTTTTTAAATTAATCATTAATTCAACTGGCAAAAAAGCATTTTTCATCTGTACATTTTGCAATTTTTCGCCTTGGTGTCACCCCCCCCCCCCCCTAAATGGTGTCACCCGGTGCGCACCGCACCCCGAGCCCTCGCTACGCCTCTGAATTCCACACATAGGATATCATGACTATCTGTCCCTCAACGCAATTCCTCCAGTCAGTTGAGAAAAAAAACGGACAGAGATCCGCCCTTTTATAATATCCCATGACAAAAAAGGTCCCCGCTCAAACAGAGTCATTATGGTTCTGAGGGTTACCAAAACAAAACAAACGTTCACAAACAGATTTTTACGACAGACCCTCAAGATAAGATGGCCAGTCAAAATATCCAATGAAGACTTGAGGCAAAACATCAAACAACAGCCAATAGACGGAGATATTAAAGCCAGTAAATGGGGATGGATAGGGCATAAACTGAGAAAGGGAAAGGACAACATTTCGAGGAAAACATTAGACTGGAATCCCCAGGGGAAGAGGAAAGTAGGTCGGCCAAGGAAATCCTGGAGGACAGACGTAGAAGATGAGGTAAGGGCTGCAAGGTTTATGTGGGTGCAAAAAAAAAAAACCGAGTCCAGTGGAACTGAAAAGGAATGGCTCCTTAGGGACTACAAAAGAATAAGTCAGCAGAGGCGTAGCGAACCGTTTAGCCGCTCGGGACGGACTATCAGGTTTGACCCCTTCCTGCCATTTCTATATATAGTTATTCCTGTTTGTGGAAAAGAGTCTTATTATTTAGTAAGACTTAGGCCCTACAAGTTTTAAGAGCCGTATTGTGAGCCAACTTGTTGTTGGTTAAACATTCGGTAACTTATTTTCTAGAGTGACATGCATCTGGTGTGAATACTGTATGATTTAAACTTTTAAAAACATTTATAGGCCTTTACTTTTAGTGAACGTTAATATCGGGTTTACAGACCAGGGATAACGCTCTTTAAATGGACGCCTGTGGAAATTCAATTTTTTTGGGCCTCATAAATGGATGACACCTCAGATGATGGAGGTGTGGTTTTTGTTTACGCTTATACCGTGCTTACTGTTTTAGTTAGGCCTAGCTTAACCTCGTAGACCGTCCCTGAGTCCACCCAAATCTGATGGGTACCTAACTCATGTTAGGGAAAGTAAAGGCGGCTGGGCATAGTGCTGATTACACTATCTCTTCGTATGCCGAGGTCACAGAAACAAGTGAACTCTACTTCACTTGCCCCATAGACCGTCAGGTTTGAAAGGAAAACTTTACTTCACTATACTAGTTTAATCTCTGTGTGTTATTAATAATTTCCTACATAGAGTGGTTGGAAATTCTTTTTTTGTCTTTTTGCGTCTGCAAGTAAACAAGTGCCAACAGTCTTTATCGTCTGCTCTATAATGACATTATAATATTCTCATGGATATTTATATTTGTTCAATGTTAGTCTGCATTCCCAGCTTTCTCATGCCCAATATAAATTCTTGAATCACAGTTCAATAACTATCGTGACAAGGATATTGGGCTTGTAAGGAATGTAAGTTGTTAAAGTAGCTTACCAAGTTCTCGCTCCGGTAGTTGCCAGCTGGCGTTTTTTTGTTTTTTCAAACCAAATGTGAATATTTTTTTTTTTTTTTTAAGTTATGAAATCTACTTTCGTTTTTGGAATAAAAAAAACTCCGACAATAAGTTGTTTTAAGTAAATTAAGTTTAAAATAACACACACACACAAATATATTATATTTTATATAGATCTAGAATACAACCTGTATAATAATAATACATCTATAATCTATATAAAATATGATATTTATAGGCCTAAAAGATTTCAATCGTAAATCCGAAATCAAGCCTAATTTAATTAATAAATATATATAGCCTAGATCTAGAGTCTAGATTTCTAGATCTAGATCTATGACTTAAAAAAAACCCTCTTGAAAATTCCGACTTAGACAGTAACATACGACATACAGGATTTATTTTTAATTTATAGACTCAAGAGTAGTCTAGAGATCTAGACTAGATTCTAGATCTAGTTAAATAGTTTCTTTTATTTTACAGTGTAGTTGAGTGGAATTAATTACTAAATTACTAAATAGGCTATTTACTTTAAGACAGGTAGACTAGAATATGTTCAATATCAATTTATATATAGAATCTAGATTATTCTAGATCTAGCGAAGTTTAGTGTAGTCTTGTTGTAGAACTTAAGAACTAAATCTAGAGTGTAGGCAACTGTAGTAATTTAGATCTAGAATCTAGTACTGTGTGACGTCATTTTAGGGGGTGGGGGTCTGGCTTTTTGTGACGATGTGTAGGGGGAGGGGGGGGGAGGTAAAAATCGTCAAAAAAATGCGTGACGTCATTTATAGATGACCCCCATGGAGAAGATCCACACAGAAACAGTTTAAGGAAAGGGGCCTAACATTCAAACAGGTAGAGGTACCAACATGATTTTAGAGATTATGTAGATATACATACATATATATATATATATATATATATATATATATATATATATATATATATATATATATATATATATATATATATATATATATAGGGGGAGGGGTAGAGAGAGAGAGGGTTCATCTGTAAATTGCATCACACATTTTATGATGATTTTTACCTCCCCCTCATAAAGGAGGGCAGTAAAAAGAAGAATGTATGATAGCTGGGTAATCCTAATTTATATAATCAGATTATTGTGGTAAATAAAAGTCAACATATCTAGCCTAACAAAATGCCATGAATTTAAAATATATATTATGACTTAGAGAAAGTTTGGTGAAATGGAAATATCTGCAAATTTGATTTATTGATGATGTGTAACTTGTTTATATTATTCCTTTGGAGCTGATATTAATAAAAAGTTAATGAAATTATAGAGTTTTATCCAATTGATGTTTCTAAAGCTTTGCATGAACTTAATTTAAATATATTTAGCTGCCCAGGCAAAGAACCCAATGAATTTTCCAGAATTGGCTTGTCGTTTGACCGATGGTAACAAAGAGAATCACCCAGGATCTTCGCTGATAAGAAAATCTGAAGACATACCTTATTCTTCTATATCTAAATGTGATTTGTCTAATGAAAATATTTATTCAGTGACAATTGCTAAAGATATTTTACCATTATTTCAAACATCATCTTCTGAAA